TATGATGTTTATGGATTTAACAACTTAAGAGCTTTTATTTTATGGTTTTATTGTCCAGCACTAAGGCCAAATTCTTTTGACCGAAATTCTCTCTTCTTTTTATTTTATGATTTTAACTTATATATATATATATATATATAACAAATTCAATGGTAACAAATAATTCTTATAAAATCAATAGTTAGGATTGGTAGGTAAAGGACACAATTTAGACTCTTAAACAGTTCAAGAGAATAGATTTCAAATAAAATTTCATAATATATTTTTTTATCTCGTTCTCTATCGTTAATGCCTCCTTATATAGGATGTACCAATTTTACTTAAGTTCTGCGTTGAAGAACGAGACAAGATTAGATTGATTTTTTTTTAAAAAAATCAAACATGTTGGATTTATGTCTCGTATCGATTCTCAGTGCCTTTCCATCCTCTAGTGCTGCATCCAATTTCTGAAAAACATTGAGGTCTTGACGATTAAAAGAGTTTTGACGAAAATGTGTTGTTAGAGTTAATGTCAGATTTGTCCTCATCCTCTGGAAAAGGATTAGAGAACATAGAGTTGTCGGACTCCTCCCAAACTTCTACAGATCCAAATAGGGATCTAGAAGGACTTATGAAAGAAAGAAAGAAAGAAAAAAACCTTTTGAGAACAATTTCAACATTACCGTAAGTGCAGCCGGCTGATGTGAAAAAAAAAAAAAACATTTATGGAATGCAATCTTTTCTATCTCAATTGAGATACTCGATGTTAGAAAATATATCTTCACCATAAGAATTAAGTTTTATTGATGAAATTCAATTTCAATTATTTAGTTTTATATAATATCATAGTCTCAAAAAAAAAAAAAAATCACAACAATTTAACAAAAAAATATATATAATATCGGAATCTCAAAAAGATCAAACGACTTAGCAAAGATATTGAAACCCAAGTCATTTAACAAATCTCAAAAGAGTTAATTTAAAGATTTTTAATATATAAAGTTAGAATGAACCATTCACTCTAAGATTTAAGTTTTATGGATGAAATCTAATTTTAACTCGTCTAATATTATACTCGATAGTGTTGAGTTTTAGGAATTCAATAATTTTTTGATATATCAAATGTTTTGGTATTTCAAATACCCTTTCCTTTGTAATTTCAAATATTTTTGTAACAATAGTCTCTAAAAAATTTGTTTCGCCTCTGCTGTAGTGGTTGTGTTTTTAATTATCGTGCTACATCATTATTAAAGAAAAATGAACTAATATGTTATATTGTTCTGCAAAAAAGTTATTAAGTTTTTGGTTTTAACTTGATGTGTTGTGCGGTAAATAAACTTAATTTTGATTAGAAAAAACCTATCAACACACCTTTATAAATTACACCTTTTATCAACAAGAAAATTTATTTTATTCTAAGAATAACTAATAATACTTATTTCATAGAAGATAGATGTGCATAAAATGAGAGAGAAATAGGAGGGAGAGATTTTAAAAAAATGAATTTATGTGAAAAATATTTTTTATTACTTTTGATGGATTGAATATTTTAAAATTTCTCTTTTTCAACCATACCCTTACTATAAAAAAATTAATCAATAATAACATTTAATTTGTTCAAATTCTCTAATACACTCCTCAACTATTATTATAAAAATGAACACATGCGCTACATGTGATAATAGTATGGATTTGTAAAAATATCTATTTAACTAAATAGAAAATACCTATTAAGAAAAGTAATAATATTATAGATATGGACTATTTTTTTGTATATAATTAGTTAGAAGTTAGAACTATGAATATATTTTAATCTTTTGTAATATATTTTTCCTTAATTTTAAATCAAAACAAAGTATGTCCCTATGCTCATGGGTGGAGATATATATTGTAGAAAGAGGACAACTTCCCCAACTCTCTATTAAGAAAAACCTAAGAGATTAGTTTTAAGATTTCTATGTAAGAATGCTGATTGTACAATGAGGAAAGATCACAATCATCCTAGTGTATTCTCGTAATGAGATTACCCCTCAATTCTAACATATGATAATTTCTTTATTCAAAATTCAATTTATGTCCACTTGTTTATCTTGATTTATAAGTATGATTATTTATGAATTTTCTAGTAAGTCTGAAATGAGATGATTTGAGAATTAAAAAAAAAGACTTAATTATTATCTTCCCTAGATTATCATTGGGCTATTAAAGCCCACTTGAAAAGATGCAAGTCAGGGCTCAAAGGCCCATTTGCAAATTAAAAAACCCAAGCCCTATATAAAAACAAAAATAAAACAAAACAGATTTGAACCATAGGCTCAAGCTTCCCAACCAAATCATATAATAAAAATTACAAATCCAAATAATATGACATGAGTCTCGAGTCCATATCAGCCTCATATGTCACTTAAAAAATAGTGAAATGAGACTCAAGGATCTACAAGTAGACAAAAATAGACAAAAATAGTGAATTTGAAAAGAAGATTAAAATAAAATAAATAAGCAAAAGTAGTAGTAACAACAAAAACAACAACATAAGTCTGTCATCGGAATAAAATTGGTTTCGAGTCTTAAGCCTATCTCATTTAAACTGTAATGACATGCCATTAAATAAGCATGAAAAGTGCAAAATATAATAAAATTAAGCATACAAAAATCACATATCATAAAAACAACTCCACAAAAAAATAAAATAGTCAATTAGCCTCCACAAAATCTTTGGCCTATTAATTTGTATTAGGTTATTTTACTTTCTCACCATAAAAAGAAATAATAAAAAAGCTTGTTTATTGCTAACTTCATCGTCAATCAATAATTCCTCGAGGATTTTATTAAGTAAAAAAATACATACTACATAGTATGTATCACCCTTTATTCCTAAAGAAATAAAATAATAATTATACTCTGAAGATAAAGGAAATTTAAACCATAAACCTAATTATTTCAAATCTCCACCAGGGTAAATTTGTATGCATGCCTTAACCACAGAAATCAGGTTCATTGTCTAATATGTCAAACACCATTAAAGGACTTTCAATTGAATTGTTTTTTATTAAGCTCGAATTATGTAATTCAAGTTCCTTAAATAATCCAAATCTATGGTGACCAAATAAATACAGCTTTGTGTCACAAAGAAAATCAAATTATCATGTATCACACTGAATTTCAGCAGAATTGAACCATGATTAAAGGATTTAGGGGGACTTATACCTCAATCGAAAAAATAGGGACTATAATGTCGAAAGTGGAAAGAAATCAATGACCAAATTGAATGAAAAAGGCCAAATGATGACTGCAGTAGGTGGCCGTTTATTGTCAGAAGTCGGTCGTTCTACCATGCTACAATCGTCCTCTGCTGAGAACTGACGATCATGGTGGTCCGATGAGTGTCATTGGAAGAGATCTAGACGGCAAACAGTGGCGATCGATCCCTTTACAATATTCTGTCTCTCCTTTTTCTTTTTTTTTTGGTCAGTGTATGCTAAGAGTTGTGTTAGCGTGTGTGAGAGTGGGTAGTCAGGCCTGAAGTCTGGCCGCAACCTAGCGTGCACCTAGGCTGTCTAACGCCTCTCTCTCTTTTGTTTTTCTAATTTTTTTTTTTTTTGTTTTTTTTGTTTTTCAGAAAGAAAAATGGGATGATGATAATATTTAACATCATCTTAAAGTTTTCCATGATCTTATAAACTTCTTAAAATTTTCTAATGTTGGTTGAATTACCATCAATCAAAAGATTTGAGTTTTATGACGGATAATGCACGCTCAAACTTTATATATAAATTACTTAATTTAGTTTTATATATTTAAACAACTCACAAGCATATTAATCTTATTTTTAAATCATCATTTTGTTTGAAAAATGTCTCTGAATCTCTTTTATTGCTGTTTTTTTTTAAATCGAATATAATTTTCCACTTAAAATATTTTTGTTGATTTTTTCTGCCATAACTATATGCTTTTTTTGTTTTAATGCTTTATGTCCATGTGGTATTCTAGAGCAATGTTTTGTGTCCTGGCAAGCTATAAGTATTAATACTAGAAGATTTAAGAGAATTTTATTTTTTATTATGATTTAAATCTTTGTAGCCAAGGAGAGAACACAATCATACTCTTAACTTCACAAGCTCTTTAGATTACATTTTTATTAATTTACAAACATGTGGACATGTATAAAATTTTAGTAGCTAGGAACATAAAAATGCCAAAATTAATGAAATTAGACAAAAAAAAAACATCATATGAATTTTGAATATTCATTACAGATTAACCATCGAAAGATCAGATTAGAATATTTAGCATGCTATAAGATTTTTTTTTTTTTAAAAAAGACAATAATTGAACAATCACGCATCTCATTAACTCTTTTATAATAAATACTACTACCTTACAGTTCATGGTTTACTTTCACATTTTTTTGTAATTCATTAAATTATAATTAATCCGCCCATAATTAAATACCTGACATTTTGCCGAACTTTATGTACCTTACAAATAGACGCAAAACAAGAACCAAAGTTTTGCGTAAGGTACTAACACACTCGTTTCCTCTCTCTCTCTCTCTGACGCACGCATTTTCCTCTATATATATTCTTTCTTTTGTTTTTTTGTTTTTTTTTTAATAATTTCCCCTATATTCTTTCCTTCTACTATTTTTCATTAATCCAACGACAGGAATACCCTTTTAACCTACCCCAAGAGATCTCAACGGTTACATTAACCTAGTGCTCTGGCTTAGCTTATTATATATATATATATACACACACACACCTTGTCCTCTTGTCATTTCCTTTGTTTTGTCGATATATCTTAAGCATCTCTTTTATTTTCTCTGAACCCTCCACACCAGCCTCCCTCCCTCCCTCCCTGGCATAAACGTTTTTTCTTTTGGTACCTCCATTGCTGCATTGGTCCTTCCTGATAATGGTAACAATAGTGGAGTTATTGTGATTTATTTTTTTTGTGTGTATATCAACAGTAGTTGACCCAGTTGGTGGTTTTAATTTATTGGGTGCCAAACAATACAGGAAATGTTGGTACCACCATGGCTTGAATCGTTATTATCGACTGCATTCTTCACCATTTGCCCCAGGCATAGAGATGCCCCACGCAGCGAATGCAACATGTTCTGCCTTGATTGCAAGACAGATGCCTTTTGCTTCTATTGTCGATCAACTCGACACAAAGACCATCCTGTTATTCAAGTAATTCATCTTTTATGTTTTGGTGGGTCATTATTGTTTCAATTCCTATCTCGTGAATAAAACATATCTGAAATATACATATGTGGTTATGTAAGAACAGATCAGAAGATCATCGTATCATGATGTTGTTAGGGTTGCTGAGATTCAAAAGGTTTTGGACATTAGTGGAGTTCAAACTTACGTTATAAACAGTGCTAGAGTTCTTTTCCTTAACGAGAGACCACAACCTAAGGGTAGCACTAGTAAAGGAGTCTCTCATTTGTGTGAAATTTGTGGGAGAAGTCTTTTGGATCCCTTTCGTTTCTGTTCTTTGGGATGTAAGGTCAGTTGATTTCTTCTCATTTCTCTTACAAGATTTCTACCGACCCTTTCCCTTCAAAACTGTACCACATTGTCATGTAAAATTATTGCAATTGATGCCAAATATATAGTCGCCTCTCTTATTTGATTTCTGCCCTTTGCATACCAAATTATTACCACATAATGTTACATCTTAGTTTTCAATTAGTGACACTGTGGTTGTGCCAAGATTTCAGACTTGATATGATAGCAATTGTGATCGCTAATTTGAATTATTATTGGTAGTAATCCGAGCTAGCTAGCTAGCTTAATTTGTAGAGTACTGACCAGAGCGTAGATGTTCTCGTACCCTATAAAAAAGGAGATTATATTATTGGAGTAATTGACATATAGAAAAATTTTCCTATATATTTACCAAATAGAATTTCTTGTTTTCGATAGTTTGCTTATCTTGCTTGGATAATGGTTTAACCATAAGTTAACTTGGTATTTAATTCAGCTTGTAGGAATAAAGAACAACGGAGATGCCAACTTTAACTTAAGCACCAAGAACGAGGAAATAGAGGAAATAAGAGAAGCAATGGCAAGAAGATTGCCATCAAACGAAGAAGAAGAATTGCGTGAAGGAAGGCAACAAGACATGTATACAAACACGCCAACTCCACCACATTCCAATTCAAGGAGGAGAAAAGGCATCCCCCATAGGGCACCTTTTGGGTCCTAATTATTGATCAGCTAGCCGCCTTAAAAACTTTTCATGTCCAGCTCAGTCTTCTTCACATGGGGGGATAGATAAAATTTGATAAACAAATTAGAGTAACTTAAGGTGCATCTTATGGGTGTTTTAAAGTGTTTTTAACACAGAAATACAGTTGTAGTTTACAATTAAGGGGTTGGGGGTTCGATAATAATATTGGTGGCATTAATGTTCGGGACATGCAATGGTGTAAATGTTATGTATACACATGAACGGTTTTAATATGAAGAAACAAACAGCTCAGTTTATTATTATTTATTTAAAAAAAAATTACAAGCTCACGAAACGTGCAAAAGCACATGATGGTCGATGCGAAAGAAAGGAATTTTGATAACGAAATACTTTCTTTGAAAAATATATTCCTTTCTTGTGTTTATCCGCTGTCCAAATTGGGCATCAATTGATAGCCATTTTAGCATTTAGTGCATCCAAATCAAATCAAACCAAAGCCATATATAATCAAGTGGAAAATTTAACATAAATATAATTGAATTATTCGTGTACATAAAAATAGCGGAAAGAGGGTTTTAACAAAGAGTATTTATTGTAATTTATTCCTTGTTGTTTTGTTTAATTAAATATTACAAAAAAATAAAAATTACACATGCATCTCTTTTGCCTTTTTAACTGTTACAATCGACTAAATTTGTGAGCTCATGGGTTTATCATGGTGATTAAAAATGGATGTTTCTCTTTTAAATTTCTTGGATTCGAATTTTAAAATCAATATTTAAAAAAATTATAAATTTTTATAAATAAATAAAGTGGATATAGAAATGTGTACTTAAAATCCTCTAGAAAAAAAAATTAATTTTGATTGACACAACAAACTGATTCAAAAATATGCTTTATGCGTATAACCTAAAAAAATCTACTACATGTTGTACATGAAAATTTTTAACAAGAGCGTTACCATTTTTATTCAAATAATTCAAACCTCTATCCCATGGCAAAATGATCTAGTGTATTTCCTTTATTTGAAGATAATGCTATTTTCAAATCAATTTTTATGTTAATTGAGACTAAATCTTTCCTCATTTAATATTAAAAATGTATTCTCTATATCGATCTAATACATTCGGAAGAATTTAATAGATTAGTTTGGATGCCGACTCTAAGATTTTAATCTAAAAAGTCAAGGAAAGAAACAAACCTTATTAACCACCAAGTCAACTCCTTAGCGGTGTTAATTAACCTCAATCGGAAAAGTTGGTTCAACTAGGGTCATCTAACTCGGTTGGATTGACACTAAAGATCGTATCTGCAAGAGACTCGGTCAAACTTGGTAAAATCCATGCGGTTGAACTAGTTGGTCGGGTATTGACCTTTTTTTTTATTAAAAAACGAAAAAATATAATTTATGGAATTTTAACTTGGAACCTTTTAAGTTTTAAAATTATGTATTTAATTACCACTTCACCATTTCTTATTTATGGTTCATAGATAGCAAAAAAATATTTATACTATACTATAAGTTAACCAATCATTCGACAAGTAATCTATTGGCTAGACTAGTGATTTGGTGACCCTATTGTTTGACCGTATCAATTTTCGAGCTGAGTTAATAACATTGCTCCTTGAATTTCTACTCTAGTGTATATTTTACTTGTTATTTTCTTCTCTGTTTTTGAGGAGAGGTCTTCCCTTATATTGAAATATCCTCGATCTAAAAATCTCCTTAAGTATAAATATATTGTAAAAATAATTAATTTATTATTTAATGTATGAATATTTACTTAAGAAATGAATTGATATTTAATGCTTGCATAGAAAATAAATTAGTGCATTCATAAATATTATGAGAGGTAAATAAATTATTTAATGCTTGATTTAGTAAGTTATAAAGTTAATTGTTAAGGTTATAATAATTTAACGATATAATTATAAGATTTTAGGAGTTTAATTGGTATAATTAAAAGATTTGGGTGCCTAATTAAAATAATTAAAAAATATAAATGACTACTATAAATTAGGAAAAAGCCTAAATAAGGGCTCGATTGTAAAAAAAATAGAGGATTATGTCTAACATTAAAGGATTCGATTGAAATGGTTAAGGAAGTTTAGGGACCAAAATGTAAAATTTTAATAAATTGAGTGACCAATTAATTTGGCTGGAATTGGGCTTTTATATCTAGATTTGAGCTAGAAAAATAAAGAGAAATAGGGGCTAGTATGTAGGCAAAGAAAGGAGAAATGGAGAGGAAAAAAAAAGAGAGAAATGGAGAGAATTCTAGAGAGAGGCATTAAATGAATGATCGAGGGATTAATACAAGTGTGCCACACTTGACAAAATTACAAAAAAATCCTCCTTTATAAATCGACAAGAAGAGGAAGAAGAAAGGGGATGGGAAACTTGAAAACTCAAGGAAGATCAAGTTGAGCTCAAGACAAATTCAAGGTAAATTAAGTCTACCTACCACCTAAAACCATCCAAAGTACCTTAGATACACCCCAAACAGACTTTAGAAACACTTGAAGAGATCAAATAAAGAAGGAGGAACAAAGACAAGGTTTGGCCGAAACATTGAGGAAGAAGAAGGAGGAGGAAACTTCAAGCAACCAAAGAAGAATTTGATCAAATATCAAGTGAGGTAAATGTAGTCCTCACTATGCCACAAGAAAATGATGAATTGTTGCTCGATTGTTCATATTTTAAAGTTTTTGAAATTATGGGTTAATTATTCAAATTATTAGGTTTTGGTATAAATGATTTATTTTGAAGAATTGTTGATGGAAACATATTTATAATAGTTGATTGTTCATATTTATTGGTTTAATTGAAGTTGTGTTGATGAATTAAGTTTTGGTAATTGAAATTAAAAGTTCCGGCCAACTTAATTAGTTTGGGAAAAAAATATGAATTTCATAATTTGGTGTTGATTTGATGTTCGTTAGGTGGGTTAAGCTTGTCTATAGGTATTTAATTAGAAAATTGATGTAGAATACCTTTATTTTTAATTTTGACCATAATCCATAAAATTGGATTAATTAAGTTAATTGATGTAATTAGATTAATAAAGTGTTTATAAGTTGGATTGAATGTGACTAAATGTGTTTGAATGACCTAAATTGATGAATTTCAAATTGGTTGTTCTTGATGTCTTTTTTGGCCAAGGTGCTTAATTAAGGGCATTAGTCTAATTCCATGATTTTCGTAATGGATTGATAATTGTTATGCTATTCATGTAAGAATTGATGTGTTTTATGATTAAATTATGTTTGGTTAATTGTGATGGATTGGTTAGATATAATCAACCAAGTATAGGATTTTGGTGAAAATGAGGGATTACCTTAATTGATGACTTTGTTTATATTTATGAAGTTAGATTAATTGGTTAAGTTGGTTTAATTAGATTGTTTATATGTTGAATGTGTTAATTTGATGAATTTAGATTGGTTACTTAGTTAGTGAAATTTAGCCAAACCATAGGATTAATTGTGAATGAATTAATTGTGGTAAGATGGTATTTAGATAGATTAAAGGAATGAGTTAATATGGAAGTATGTGTTTATGTTGTAAATATTGGGCGATTTATGGAAGCATGTGTTCATGTTGTGAATATTGGATGTTTTATGGAAGCATGTGTTCATGTTGTGAATAATTAAAGATTTAAGTTGGTGTTTATATAATGATTAATTGGCTAGTGTTGGTTGTTTATATATGTTGATCAAATCTAGATTTTGGGAAAAGAAATGTCAAATCTGAAATTGTTAGTAAATTGGTAAGATTTTCTTCCGTTTAGTGATAATCATGTTAATGTTAGTGTATTTAAGTTGGATGATGATGGGTTTAGATAAAAATTGATTGGTTTCATACTTGATTATGGCTAAGACAAGTTTGTTTCTTTTGGTTGGTTCTTGGTAGTTTTGGTGAAGATGAACACTTTGCAAGTGTTGATGTGTTTGTTTTGTTATGTGATAATGGCGTAAGTTATTGGTGACATGATTATTTGGTATGCAATGTTCAATGCTTTATGAATAAATGTCATGATAATTAATTAGTTTTATGTTGAAATTGGTTATGGAATGGTGAATGGAAAATTCGGCCTAATGGTCATTTTGATGGTTTGATGCTTGTTCATGTAAAAATGTTTATGAAAGTATTTGGTATGCAATATTCAATGTTTCATGAATAAATGTCATTTGTTTCATGGGTAGTTGATTTTAGCCTACATGCCTAATTAAAGTTCATAGATCATGTATCATGTTAATGATTGCATTCACGTTATGAAATGGTTTTAATCATGTTTTCAAAGACACATCAAGTACATAGATTTTTTTTAAAAAATGGCTAGGCATGTCTCAATCATAGTCACATGCTTAATCATGGCATGCAAAGAGAATGATCAACTCTTTGTGAACATCACGATCATAAGTTCAATCATGGCTCATAATTAAGAATGTCACGAGCTTTAGAGAGGACATGTCTAGTGCTTTTCATAGTTTTTACAGATATAGTTTTTATGGATAGTCGGATATCTATAAATATATTCGATAGGATGCACTCGATCACGAAAAATATATTTTAAAGTCAAAGTCATGAAAATATATTTCATTGTATCATGCATCATGCATTGCATGACATGACATACATGATTAAACCTACCGAGCGTAAGATCATCAAGTTGTCTTTTGGTGTAGGTATTTAGGAACATATAAAGACTCAAAATAAAGTTTGATGATGAGCCGAAAGGAAAGGTGCTACAAGAGCTTGTCAAAGTTTATAGTAAAAATTAGTACGAGTTTAACTCATTTCATTTTAAATGATCTAGATAACTTTTTTAATTTTGACCTAGAATGAATGAGTAAATAAATATTTCAAGATATTTATTAATTAGTTGGTTTGACGAGTAAATTGCTAATTAGATAAGGAGTTAAGTTAAGTTAATTAAATAAAAATTAAAAGTCAAATTAACAAATGGTAAATGACTAAAAATATTAAATGGTTTTAATTTGTATAAGTTAATTAAATGGTCAGGTCAAATTATAAATTAAATTAGTATTCAAAAAATTTAGTGAATTATTTAGTCTTTCTTAAGATAAGGATTAAAATACAAAGGGTTTGATTAAATGAAAATGAGTAGACATTAAGTGGTTTTAAGATAATTATTATGCAATATATTTTCATATGCATATTTCAAAAGTGTTGTATATTTTCAAAAATATTGTTTTCATAACTATATTTACAAAAACGTTGTTTACAACTTAATATGTTTTTTCAAGATCAAGTTACTTTCTATTTTACACAAGTATGATTCCACTAAAAATATTCATTAGGAGATCTCAAATTATGTTTTCATGAGTTGAGTTTAAATAAAGATTATTAATGAATTATTCTTTGAAAGATTAATGAAAATAAATTTATAATTAGAGTGTGATGAATAAAAAGATGGACCTAAACTTTTAAACTAAGATACTTCCACTCGTAAATGTTAATTACTTTAGAATAGTAAAGATCATGAGGTTTCGTGTCTTATATTCATTACATTTCGAATGTGAGGCACTGTTAGTAATATTCTCAACCCACTTTAGGTTTTAGGTCGAGGGTATTATAGATATAGTCACTAATTAAGTCCATGATTGATTCTCACTTGGCATGCCAATGTATATGTTACCAATATAAATATATTTTTTCCTTCGACGAGTTGGAAGACTTTTTTTAATACTTGAAACTCAATATATAAGGAGGTGGCAATTACCTCGTGATCAATGAGGATTGTGGATTATTTTAGAAACTTGGAGACAACAAGTCTAAATAATTGTTGCTACCGGACATATGGGACTTTCGAACTAAAAATAGTTAAAAACATATGAATTAATCTAGTGCTTTAAGGAGAATAAGAATTCTAAAATTGTGTTGCTTCTAGATAAACGAGTGAGGAGCTAATTATGTTTAAAAGAAAATAAAAATACTGAAAAATATCATTTTCTAAAAAAAGGTTACCTTACGTTTTTCTATTCTTAATTCATTTTTTTAAATCCTTATTTATCAAATTATTTTCTAAGTCTAGTTATGAGCATATTGCTAAGTTAGGTTGATGTGAATTTGGAATTATCTTGAACAAAAATTCTTCACATTATTTGAGATGTAATTTTTTGACATATTAAGTTAATTATATTTTATTCTAGAAGCTCATTAAATTGTCACCATAGCCTAAAATTACGGGTCTTTATAATTTAATATTAGATCCGATTATTTTTTATATAAGAGTATACGCGGAAAAGATGTTGAATGGGTATGCAAAGCTTATAGAATAATTAAAAAAATTGACTAAATGAGGTGTAATTTTTAACATGTTGAATTAATTAAACTTATTGTGAAATCTCATTAAATTGTACTTAGGTCCTTAGATTAGAAGTATTGTCAATTTAATATCGCAGCATAAATTTCATGCCAGAAACATCACAACAAACCAAGACATACTAAGTGCAAAAGTTGCAAATAATAAACATGATTCTATAGCTATCATGAAAATTAATTGATAATCAATTCAAGAATAATTAATGACTCTCATTAGGTCACCATCAATTCCCAAAGATAAAAGACTTATTGTGCTCATATGGAATCCAAATAAACTTCTCACTTGAGATCACATATATAACTAATATAAGGATTCAACATTTACATAATTATGAAAAGAGATTTAAAATAAATATAAATTATCTGAAGGGTAAGTTAGGTACGCAAAATTGGCACATATAAATCACATATATAGCGATGCATGCAAATAGAGAAATTAAAAACATTTATTCATGCTAAAAAAAACACAATTTTATTGACATTATAAAAAAACCATGTTTAATGAAAAGAAATGGAAGTAAAATCACTAAAAGAAACCCACCTAATAAACAAAGGACCAAACTGAATAACAAAAAAGTGAAATTAAAGTTTTGTTTTTTTTCCAAAATTGTTAGATATTAACCAAAAAAGGAGTACAATCGAAAAATAATTGAACCATTCTTTTCTTCTCTTGTTTTTAATTCTGCCCTTGCTCTTTAATTTCTTTTCTTCTCTTGTTTTTATTACGTTCCTTTCTCTTAATCTTTCTTTTCAATTTTGCCTTGATTTCTTCTTTATCCATTCTCCTTCTTTTTAATTCTTTTTAATTCAAGTTAGATGCACGCCCTGTTTCTATACTATCCAAATAATACTCTTATTAACTCCTCTATCCAAGTATAATAGATGACGAACTTTGTATTACTGAATGTTGAAATAAATCAATTTTTTCGTAACATTTTTCATTAGCTTGATCAAATTCTGTTAGTTAAATAACGTCAAACTAGTCATATGGTGACTCACGCCAAATAAAGGGTAAAAACATAGTTCTCATTTAAAATCAGATTTTTTAAATTTTTAGTAAGTTAAAATAATAAATCATTATTTATAAAAAGATAAAAAAAATCAAATGTCCTAACCAATGTCAACTAATCAATTGTTTGGACTTTTGATTTTTTTATTATTTTATAAATATTAATTAATTATTTTAAATTACTAAAAATTTTGAAAATCTGATTGTAAATGAGAAATCATATTTTTACTCTTTATTTAACATGTGTCACTACATGAATAGTCTAGACGTTAGTAATTTTTATTTAAAATTACAAATACTCAATAACTAACTCATAGTCATTTAAAAATGTTTCTGTTGTGAAATAAATAGTAATTTTTATTTTATGAAAGACAATAAGCTCTATTTAATCAAAATGATATTTAATCATCCAAATTAATTAATCACAACTACAATGTAGTTAATTAAATTATACAAATGATAAATAAATTGTTATGACATAATAAGTGAATATAATTAACCGTTCATAATGTTATAAACTGAATAATATTCTTTATTTTCAAGATTATAATACTTATTGAATTGCAATTGCAATACCTAGTATAAATATAAAGTAATTAGTTTACTTACAGGGTGACGCAGTAAATTTTTAAGCCACAATATAAAGGTAAACTAACTCGTCCTAATGTGAAACCAAATGAAGTTTTATGGCTAGCTGAATAAGGTTCTTTCGTTTTTTGTTTTCTTTTAGCAAAATTTAGTTTTGTGCTCAACCTCATAACCTAAAGATTACAAACCCGAGGGAGTTAGGTAAATTTGAATGTCATCTGGTGGGCTTAAACATGATCAAGATTAAATTGAACTTGACCTTGTTAAGGATTGTCCAAGCGAGGCTTATTCCAAAAAATCAATTTAAAAAAAAAAATCTAAGATGGGCATTATGTGCTTAAGTATGGTCTCAAATCTTGCCGGATAAAATAGGATACTACAACTAGATATGCATCATCAACCATATAAGTCATAATCCACCATAACTACGACCCCAAAGCTTAGGTGCTAGTACCATTGGGGACCCTTTTTTTTTTTTTTTTCTTTTCTTTTCTTGTGGTGTGAAAATAGGTGTATAATGTGTCTTTACTTTCATACGTTTATAAGAAGCATCACTATACCTATATTTAGATTACATATTAGAGTATTTCTGTGAATTTCAGTGAATAGAGTTAATCAAACGCATATTATATGTCATATTTTCAAAAAAAAAAAAAAAAAAGTAATAAAACTCAAATATGAGATTTTAGACTAACTGAATCATTTTCTTATCACTTAATAATATACTTTTTTGAATTTCTATACAAGTGTAATTCAACTTTCTTTACTAGTGGAACTTATAAATCACTCTATAATTTAACAAAAATAATTAATTTACCTTCTTTTTTTTTTTTTGAAAAACTATTTAGTTAATGTTCATTTCTAAGTTTATTTATAATTTAGTCCTTCTATAAATTGTACATTCTTTTTTCAATATATTTTATTTTATTTTTTTTTCTATTTTGAAAAACAAAATTAAGAAGACGAAAGCAGGTAAGGTTTAGATATTTGACTAGGGAAGAAAGCATTATGGGAATGAGACGACTTAAATGATAATCAATTCTTTTTAGCATGGGTGGTTTTTTTTTTTTTTTTTCCTTGTTTTAGAAAAGAGACAATTCCTAATCCTATGCTAATTATTAAACAGAGGAATCATCGTAAACTAGGTAAGAGCAGGATGCCTTCATAATTATTTCATTTTTAACAGACCAGGCATGAGGCATCATTTTGTGCAGTGTGTCGTGTGAAAATCATCCGCTAACAATAGACTACTGATCAGACGCTTGAGCCTTCGAGCACCAGGGCCAGGCTTAAGCTCAGTGGTGTTCTTTAAGTCAATATGCGGGAGAGCTGTGCTTGCATTTCCTTCATTAGTGAACCATCCACCAGGCACAAACCCATCGGCACTGCGCCCCAAAATGCTAGAATCAATCTTGTCAAGAACTGGATCGTTCTTGCCAAATTTCCTTGCAAACGGAACATTGCTGTCAACCATGCTCTGATAATCATCTACAGTGAGAAAATGTGGGTGTTGCTTAGGAGGGTTGTCCCAGGCTATGAAATGAAGGTCATGGTTAACAGTAGTGTTCCGGAACTCGTCAGCATTGCAGATTACAGTGTGGAAATAACCCTCAGGCGAAGAAAGAAAATTTGCATAGTACATGAGGACATTCCTTGGGAGGTTGTCCCAGCCCCAGAGGCAATACTCCACAAAAGATCGAGACAGCATCATCCAAGCAGAACCTGAGGAAATCAATGCCACAACTCATGCTTAAACTATAAAAAAATCTACTTTTTCCTGCCTCTTCTTTATTTCGAAATTTTAAACAGTGTAATTAAATGTTTTGAACAAAAGAGAAAGAAAAGGCTCATTTAGTACATGTTTGTGCAGGCTCAGCAATTCTCATGTATTCAGGTAAGTGATTTGACTCTGATTATGCAATGCAATCTAGTGGTAAGCAATCATGACCAAAACTTTGCTAATGGTTCTTGCTTAATTTCATCCAAATCTATTCCTTAATTAGGAAATAGAACGAGGAAGAACAAAGGTGCTTGTGCAGCATCTATATGTTTCAGATAGTTGCAATACTTATATATATATATATATATATATAAGTATAACAACATAGCAAGAGATGTTAGATGAACTTTTTGCTTCTAAATTGCTTGTAGCATCTCCACTATTCCTGTACGATTCAAGTTCAATCTTGATAACACTGGACACTTGATTAGCTTTAACTGACTTGGTCTTACAATTCAATGACATTTCAATCTCTACAGACTCAGAAGCTCAGCCAAATACTTTTCGATTAACAAGGGTGAGTGAGAAGTGAAAATGATGCTCTGGATCCTAAGAATAGTCAAAGAGGGTTAAGAAGCTTCTCATCTCTTCTAATGCCTACCATAAATTTTCAATGCAAACTGCTTATAAATGCAGAGAAAGCTAGTAGCTTACCAGCTAAATTAAAATATCATGGCAAATCAATTTCATGATTTAGTGTACAACTAGACAACATTCACACGAAGTTGCTCTGACTTCTTAAGTTGATATAGTTGAGACCAGGGACTTGAATTTTATAATCAGTTTAGGACAAATTATTATAAAGCAAAGAGAAATATAAAACCTAAAACCTTAGCAAATGGAGATGGCACCAAAATTTAGGAATAGAATTGTCAACTGTGAACTCTGCTTTCTTGTAAATACAGTGGGCTGTGATAGGCTGTACTCTAAATAAGATTATGCTGTTTATATATATATATATATATATATACACATTGCTGTTAAAACTGAGAGACTTCTCTGATTTTGAGGACAAAAAAGAGTTGAAAGTTCTTTTGTTAGTTCTTTTATAGCTTACCAGTAAACAACTTATATGCTGTTGGCACGCTCCTTTTCTCTGGGATCCAAAACACCTCTGATTTTTGCAGGCTATATAGCCCAGGGTCAATTATGACAGGCCTGGCTCTTTGATCTCTGCAGGGTTCAGAAAAATCCAATTCTTAGCAAACTTATATACAAAATTGCAGATGAATACTCTACTCCGCCTCCCCTCCGCATCTTCTCTAGGCTATGTTTGTCAAGATGGATGGATAGGAGGAAGAATAGATCGGATAAGGTGGAATGGGAAGAAGAAAGGATGGCACTATCCATCTAGTTGTTTGGCTAACAAAGGAGGAGAAGGATGAGAATCAATCCATCCAAGTTGACAGCATTGAAAGTTACAAAAACAAAAAGAAAACAAAGGAAAGGATATGAACCAATTCGTCCAAATTGAAAAGATTGGAAGGATCCTTTTGATCCTTCCTTGCGTCTACATTCTGTTGCCAAACAAATTGGACAGCCAATCCCTCCTCTCTCCTCCCTCTCCCTTCTTCCAATCTTCCTCTCATCTCTCGTGACAAACACACCAGACAGAATGAAAGGTAGGGAGCAGATAAACCACATACTCCTTCCATCCAATGTCACTTGTATGCTCGATGAAGTTAAGGTTTCTTGGAATATCAGAGAGTGCATGAAGTATATCTGTCAGGAAGAAAACAAAAGACACAAATTAAAGCCATCAGAAAATCAAGCTGGACTTGCATACAGTTCAAGTTAGCTAAAAATGGCATATGCTAACTGCAAATTTGATACTTATTGATCATGCTAGCCTGTTAACATAGAGTTTTGACCAGCAGAATCAAGACAAGTAGACAACAGAATTGACGTTTGTGGCTGAGCTACGGTAACAAATTAGAAAGTCCCAACTTATGTATAGTTTTTCTTTTTGGGTAACGAAAAGTCCTAAATTATATATAGTTGTTTATAGCAACAATTAGGGAATTCAATGCAAATAGATTTCTAGGTACTCCCTTTTTCCCATTCTCCTAAAAAATGAACAAACAATCATGTATATTATTAATATTAACATATAAGTATAATATATAATATATTGGGTAGGCTTTTCAAAATCTTCCTAAGTGAAGCACCAAATTCAAAAGAGAACTAAACCATTTATAATCAAGCAGTAATTAATACAATATTATATTTATTAATTGCTTACCATCTTGAGTCATCAAAGGATAGTCAGAGGCGCTAAGATTGATAAACCAATCCCAATATTCCCCATCAATAATATCCTTGAGCAAAATTGCAGCAGCGTGAAGGGTATTGCTGACCATGGTGGGACCTCTATAAGTTACCAAATTGGATCTCACAACCACCCTCACATTTCCCACCTCCTCAAAAACCTTCTCCTCTCTCACCCATCTAGCCAGCTCCAACCTCTCCTCCACGGTGGCCTCCAAGTCCAAATGCACAGCGTACTGATTCCTTGGATGGTAGAGTGCTTTTAATGCCCGCTTTAGGCTCACTCCATCCCCAGCAGAACCTGAAATTAAGTAGGCAAGGCGGGGTGTTTTGTGTGTCGGAAAAGAAAGTGATTTTTCCAATTTAGATTCCACAAAGCGGGGAACCTGATGGAAATGGTTTCTGTTGCCATGTAATTTGTATAGCAATTGAGGGGTGGATGAGAAAGCTGTTATGGAAGTGAGAAGCAAGATAGTTGAGAATAATATTAACAGTAACAACCATTTATGTTTCTTTTTTTGCAAAAGCAACTTCAACTTGCTGGTTTCCATTCTTTAACTTTTTAAACTGTAGCTAGGTGGTAGTACTAGAACTAGTATATTTTAGGACCAAGACCAACGGAGGGGCGGTGGAAACGTGCTGTGTCAATCGCCACCGGCGGGAGGATCTCGGAATCTGAAAAACATGGATGGAAGAAATAAGGTGGACTCATCATAAAGACCAACGAAGTCATTCTAGTTCAATTGTTAAAAAAAGAAACTTTCTTTACCTTTTTTATTAATGACTGTCACATCTATTGACACGCGCCGCAACAGAAGTGGTTAGACGGAGATGTATTTAGCTGGTGGAGGAATTTGTCGGTAGGCATCATGAGGAGCTGAGTAAATTATATATTAGTCCATCTATTTTTTAGAAAATAATTAACTAATCCTTTATATTTTAAAAATGAATTATTTAATTCCTTAATCAATCTTGCTCATATTTAATTTAATATTAAAATTCATTTTTTATTGATTTTTTTTTCATATTTTTACTATTTTTTAAAAATTTTATAAAATATTAAATTGAAAAAAAATTAAAAATTAAACACTAAAGGTACCTGATGAGCATTAAGCTTTAATTTTTTTCATGTTTTTGCTCGTCATTTTTTATCTGAGTGCGCGCGTGCTAGAGAACGAGAGCTAAATGGATTGTTTTGTTTATTATTATTATTTAAATTATTATGAATTTTATCTTTTTAGATATCACAAATTCTTTAACAAATTATATCCGATTTTGTTTCATTGCATTGAATGTCATGTGTTACGACATAAGAAAATTACCTGCAGTATGGGTGAGCAAATGATTAAACGATTCGATTAAACTTAATTTGATTCGAGTTTTCGATTAATTGAATTAGAAAAAATCAAAATCAAAATCGAACCAAAATTAATTCGGTTATTTCGGTTTGTAATCAAATTATTTTGGTTCGGTAACGAAATAATTCGGTTTTAACCGAACTTTTGCTACTATGAAATATATATATATATATATATATATATATATATATATATATACAACGGTGTATCTAATTACGAATTCCTAGCTCGCAATTCAAAACTCAAAAACGAGTATTATATTTATACCGCCAACTTTTGCTTGCCATAGTTATAAAAACAATAAAAAGGTAATCTCGTAAAACAATAAAAAAGTTGAAAACAAGGGCAATTTCGAAAAAGAAAAAGCAAGTAGAGATAGCAAAATCATGTAGTTAGGATTTTATTGAACAATCATACCTTTCGAACCTTAATCAGAAAAAAAAAAAAAAAACGAAAGGTCCGAAGTTGCAATGGCATGGTAGTGTCATACATAGGCTTCATGTAGGCAACTCTAAATACACTTGGAACACAACAACACTCGAAATCCCAAAAACCAACGTGCCAATTCTTATTATCTCGGTAATGCATTAGCCGGACTAATTCAAATCAAACAATCCATACATGTGTCAAAGAATTCAACAACGATATGGATAGATAACCTAAACATAAAATCCCGTAAGGCAAGCATGAGGGAGAAAGCACAAAAAAAAAGTCCTAAACAATTTTGTCATAACACAAGTCTCTAAGAGAATGCAACAAGCACGAAAAAATCTCACATGCAAATTTGTTATCAACATTCAAATATCGGGTGATCCTTAATTTTCTTGTAACCTAGTGCCGAGTCGCCAACATGCTTGTATCATTGTTATGGAAACAAGAGATTTTTCCCCTTGTACACATCATATTTGCAGATTAAGTCATGGAAACCATATGACAAAACAAAAGTGACAAAAGAGAAATGGTTTGTGCATCTAGCAGCGAAGAGATTTCTCCGTGCCATAGTTTCTCGAACATAGAAACCCAAACGGTTCCATTACTTCATCCGTATAAGGTAGAAGGCAAAAGCACCGAAGGCATTAGGCGAGTAGAACCGGACGCACGTCACGCACCGGAGTGAAATTATGCAAGAAAGCATCGAAAAAGCAAGAGCACGAAATTGAAGGAAGTGAAAAGGAAATATGAGGTTGAATGATTTTAAGATACATGTGGTTGAATATATATAGATGCAAAGTGAATAATTATCATAGTGATCCAAACTAGATTCCAAGATGGAGCGAGGCAACATGAGGCACTTATCATTGCCTCGACCAATGCCATACTCGTTGTTATAGTTCCTAAGCAAAGTAATGCTATAGCAACATGGATGAAGTCGGATATTTTACTTAGGTTACGGGATCAAGATATCAATAATTTAACTTAAGGATGAAGCCAAAAATCGGAGACCCATACATTCAACAATAAACAAACTCATCAACGCAACAAAGATCACCAATCAAGCAATGACCACACTCCACACAAGAGGAAATCAAGGAAAACAAGATGGACTTCCATATAGACAAGTTATTAAGAATTTAACCCATCTATTCTTTTGCCAATACATTATTATTTTCAATAAAATAAATAAAAATAAATAAAAGAGATTGACCTTGGGGGACGGGGAGAGCTCGCGATAAGAGGAAGATACGAAGAGGTAACTAGCAAGAGTAGGCGAGGTAGCTCGAGTAGGAGGAGCCGAGGAGGAGGGCGGTGAGCGATGAGGATCATCGTGACTCGTGAGATTGAAGAAAGATGACAAGGGTTACGGGTTGTGACTTCGACTTGTGAGGGGTAACGAGTGAGCAAGCTGGAGCGATGGAGCCTGGAGGAGCGATTGGAGTGGAGAGAGGAGAAGAAGGGAATGAAACCGAAGGAGCCAAGGAGGTACGGGAAGAAGACGGAAGTAGTGACGTTAGTGAGACGATGAGAAGAACCAAAGAAGTGAGTTTTAGTGTTAAGATTCTTAAGAAAGTCGAAAGAGAGAGTGAGAAATGAGACCGAAGTGAGTTTGTCACTCAGGTCTTAGGGTTACTTGGGTTAGGGATTTAGAAATTAGAAATAGATTATGAATTTTTTGATTTTCTCGATTTTCGATTCAAACCGATTTTTTTTATTTTATAAAAACCAAACCGAAATAAATTTTGATTTTTCGGTTCGATTATAAATTGTAAAATTTAAAATTCAAAAGCTGAACCATATTCCATAATTCGATCCAATTGTATTCGGTTTTCGATTAATCGAACCGTTTGCTCACCCCTAACTCGCGGATAGAAAAGGTAGCTAAGATCAAAAAAATATTTATAATACAAGAAATATAGAATTATATATTAAATAAATGAAATTGAAATTATAAACACAAGGTATATTTTATGTAATAATTTTAATTTAATTTTCAAGTTTAAAAAGCTCAATCTTTCTTCCAATTAGATTTTCGTAATATTACCTTAAATCTTATTTTAAGAAAAAAAACAACTTTTTTTCCCATTTAAAGGGAAAAGGTGTGATTTATATAATGAAACGAAGACATGTAATCAACGACAACTAAGTTCTCATAAGTTTTATGAATCATATTATAAAAGGAAAAAAAAATTACAACATTATAAAAAATAAAGAGGGGGGGGGGGGGGGGATGTGCATATGAAGAGAAAAAGGACTAAAGTAGAATTGCTTTTCATTTTACCCACTAATCTTCTTTAATCATAAAAGAACAAGAACAAGACACATATCTTTATTTTGAAAACCAAAAGCTCTTCGTTTGAGGTGCAATATTGCAAGCAATGGTTACTAGCTATCGTTATACATACACACACTATTCGAATCATTAAAATTCTTTCTCTCTTTTTTTTTTTTTTTTTTGATCTAGAGTTTCTATGAAAATAGCACACATTTAACCTAATTTTTATGTAATTATGAAAAAAAAAGAGAAAAGAGATTGTTCCGTACATAAAATGAACACGTCAAAAAAAAAGAAGTATTAGATAATTACCATGCATTTAACTAATATTAAATAGTGGTATGATAATAAAGAAGAAGAAAAATAGCAAATATCAATTGTACATTTTCGATGTTCAATAATTTTTATTGAATTTTGCTATACAAAGCACATAAGAATTTACAAATACAAAAATAAACTATAAAATTATCCATTATCGTCAATTGCAAATGCAAATAGTTAATTATATAAACAAAATTGTAATCTGAATATAGTAATGGAACATATTTTTAACGCTTTTTCTAAAAATTGCATATAAAATCTTGCTTTATAAAATATCATATTATCAACTTGATTAAAAGAGCATATAGCAAAATTGTCCCAAAAAAAAAAATCAAAAACCTACGATACATACATATATATAATTCATAATTCAAATGGAGTGTAGTTGCCAAAGCCGGGAGGCTGAATTGGGCCAAATTCAGTCTTAGTTTTCGTTGGGACTTTTCAACATGAGTTTAAGATTGTTGGTTTCCATTTATGCTTCACAAGCTTGGGTGGAATTGGGCTTTGATATTACTAACCACCAACTAAATAGGAAGAGTGTAGCACCTGAATTCAATCAAAATAGAGAGCATGGCCCATTGAAGCCCAATAAGTGATGGTTCGAAGAAAATGATTTATTAGAGAAGGAGAAAATCAAATGAATGAAAACCACAAAGTTTTTAAATTCAGGCAAAAACTCATTGAACTATTGTTATCTCGATCCGAAGTAAAACATTAAAAAATTATCTCATACGCTCACTTTCAAGCAATTAAAGTCCCACACTATTGTAGGCAGGTGACGATAACATGCATGCTTAATTTGTTCTAAATCTACTTATAGAAAATAACCAATGAATCGACAGAAGATATTGATTTTAATTTTTAATAATAAAGGATTGACTTAATAATCCTACTTCTTCTTCTTCTACTTTTCCATTATTAAATATCCACTATTAAGCAAGTTTGATGAAAGTGCGTCTCCAACTATTAACGACGATGCAATAAAGATTTCCCACGGTACATTTCAAAATAACATATCAAAACAATATTTAATTTTGAGAAAATTTTCAATGAATCTTTTCAGGATAGAAATTAATCGAAAAAAATTATTCGAAAGAGCTATGTTAATTTTATTGTCCATAATTCATAGTGGATAGTAAAAATTCTTTATAAGAAGAGATATGGAAAAAAAGAAAAAGAAAAAGAAAAAGAAATCAACTAAAGATTATTTAGGAAGCGTAAACAAAACTAAACTATTCTAGAAATGATTTTTGAAAAATGAATTTATAACTTATTTCTTTTTAAAGATAGAACATATTTGTCTTTTGCATAATAAAATTAAATTTATAGTACTTTTTTGAAATTTATTAAGACCATAGCAAACTTTAAAATTAATATTTGCATTAAAAATTACTCCTAAATAATTAAAGATTTTTGGAATATATTCATTTTCATTATCTACACATATCAAAAACTATTTCTGTTAAAAAAAAAACATTAAGCTATCATATAAGATTCAAGAATCATTTCATATAATTATTCTCTAACAAAACAAATAAAGCCTTGTACAAAAGATTGTTTTACTAATTGAACTAAAAAGAAAAAAGAGAAAAAAAAACTTTTAATTAATTTTCCTTCTCTCACAAATCTAATATATACTCATATAGATTAATCATTAGAACTATTTATTCATATCTTTCCTTTTATTCCTTAAAAAACATCGCATCATCAAAACTTAGAGATTTTTGAAATATTTTTTTCATTAAAAACCAGAACAAGCTCTCGTATTTAAAATACAATATTTTAAGAAATGTTGTAAATTGAGAAGCTCTGAAATTTTATAAGAAAAAGAAAAAGAAATTGTTAAATTAAGTATTAAAAAAAACTTCGATAATGTTGAAAGTGTCAAAGAACTATCTCAACCCAAAAGTTTAAGTTGTTGGATAACGTCCAAAACCCCATAAATGGTTTTATATTAAAAGAGTCATTGTATTGATACATTTGTAGTAAATGTGTACAAAAGATTTTATAGGAAAGTTTTACTAGTGTTTGTTGTAACTATAATTTGAAGAAGTATAGTTGGATTTTGTCTTATTGAATCTCTATTTGAATTCAAGTTCAAAATGTCATTTCCTTATCACTCCTCCTTAAGTTAATGGTAGATGGAAGAACTATCAACCTGTGTTTGAAGACTTGAAACTTTTGTTTTGATATTGGTTTCATTAAAATATTTGTATTTTGATCATTGGTGGATATATATGAAACCCGAAGTTCTTTGTCAACAACTTTGTCACGTACAAAATAGAAATCTATTTCCAAATGTTTGGTCGAGAGAATAAAAGATACGGTTAGTAGTGAGATAGGTTGCGCTAATATTATCACACCATAAAATCACGAGCTTTTGGGAGTTTAAACCCTAATTCATGGATAAATAAACGAGCCACGATACCTCGGATGATGTCATTTCAACGGATATTCGAGCTTTTATAAAGGATCTTGCCATTGTTTGTTGTTTCTGAAAGATCAAGAAATGAGATTGGAGAAAGTATAGATGGCAAAGCTCGTAGTAGATTTCCTATCATCGAGGTAACCACGCATGATCGGCATCATTGTAAGCTGATATCTAACATGTGAGATTTCAACAAAGCAAAAGACAATAATTTGAGGTTTGGCGTAAGTATTGAAGGATACGCTTGACAACTTTTTAATGGTCATTTGTGAGATTTTACATATATTGTGAGACCCGATTAGCTTCAAAAGATATGTCTAGTACTGTTGATATACAAGTATTGAAAGGCAAGCTATAGAGCTTTTATATAGATAGTGATTTGAAAAATATGAATCAATGACTTGTAACTTAGTTGCCAAACACGCTGGTATAGAGATTGGATTGGCTTGACTCATTTTGTTAAGAGTTAAGAAATCATAAATATACTTTTGTTATGAAAGAAAAAGTCTTAATAAGGTCCAAGACACTTCGATGCCTAAGAAATAATGGAGGGGTCCAAGATCTTTCGGAGCAAAAATATGCTGAAATTTGCTTATCATGACGATCAAACACACTTAGAATCATTGCTTGTGAGAATGAGATCATCAACATATATGAGGCAATATATCTTTTTAGGGGAGAGAGGTAAATAGAGAGCAATCTTTTTTAGAGCCTTGGAAGTCAAAATAGTCAGAATATATATAAGGCATTAAAACTAAATTCTCGGAGCTTATTTTAAATCGTATAGTGATTTTTGAAGTTTATAAATATACCACTAGTTTAGTGCTATTTTGAAACCACGATGGTTCTCTATAAAGACAACCTTATCAAGTATGCCATAAAGGAAGCTATTGGATACATCCAATCATCAAATAGACTAGCCAAATGACACGACCGGAGAAAGGACTAAATGAATGGAGGATGGTTTTATCACTAGATTGAATGTTTCGACATAGTCCATACTTAGATGTTGGTGAAACCTTTTGAAAATGAGACGAGCCTTATAGTGGTTTAAGCTCCCATTAGATTTTTCTTGACACAAAATGCCCATTTACAACTGACTATATTTAAAGTTTATGGTTAAATAATAAGTTTCCATGTGCCATTATAGATCAAGGCATTAAACTCATCTTGTATGGCATTTTTCCATGAGGGATACTTGATGGCTTGAGTGTGGCGAGTTGGGAGAACATGAGCATCTAGGTTCATGGGGGTTTTGGGTTTTAATTTACTAGTATTAACCCTTGTTATCAAGGTATGTGTTTTATGGGTTGGTTTGATAGAAGTTTGTCGAATTTTTAAAAGAGAGATTATACTAAGAGATATTAATGGTGAAAGGAATATATGATGAGCATGTGTGTTGGTTTTAGGTAGTATTAGGTATAGAGTGGAAGTGTAAAGAAGAAGGGTATGGATGTTGTAGGATAGTAGTGTTGGGTGGGATTGAGTCGAGAGAGGGCTTTGAGTGGTTATTGGGTTCGGAACCTACTAGCTTGCCTCGGTTGATAAGGAAAAATTGGGATGTGGACTTTGTGTATTGTTTAGAGGTGGGCTTGGTAGTTGCGGGCCTAATGTAGATAATGAGGGGTTAGTGAGATGTGAGCTTTGTGGAGGGTTTGGAGTTAGGCTTGGAAGCTATTGGCTGTCGAGGGAAAATTATGACATAGGTTGTATGGAGGATTATGTATTGGGTTGTGTAGTTGTTGATTTTCCATGGCTGATGGAAGAAGATTAGGAAATGGGTTTAGATTTAATTTGGTGGTTGGTGGAAAATTTAAGAAAGTGGCAATGAACTTTGGACTTGGTGCGGACACATTATTGATCGTTTCAAAAGAAAACACCTATTCATTGAACAAAACATGGTATGAGATATAAATTTTAAAGGTTGAAATATCTAAGCTTTTGTAATCCTTATGCAATTTATTGTAACCTAAGAAAACCTAAGATTTGGACAAAAGAGCTAACTTATGAGAGACATATAGCAACCAAAAGTTTTTAAGAGTTAGTGGTCGAGTTGTTGGTATAGGAGAGTTTCAAATGGGCTTTTAAGATGTAAGAGGGCGAGTAGAATGTGATTTATGATGTAGGTTGTAGTATCAAAGATTTGGGCTAATAGATGAGAAGTATAGAGGAATGATTTGGTAAGGCAAGCCTAAATTCAATGATGTGTCAACCTTTGTATTTGGCACATCCATTTTGTTTGGGTGTGTGGAGGCGATAGCTACATTAGGTGATGCCATTGTCAACTTAGGTAGGTGGCTAAAAATTGGTATTTGTCATCCTAATCGGCTCGAAAGGATTTAATAGAGTGGTTAAAATTTTTTTTGATAAGGTGATGAAATTAATAAACACACTCGGAACTTCTAATATAAATTGAATAAAAAATATCTAAATATACTTACTGAAGTGATCAAAGAATAAAATATAATAACAAGTTCCTTGAAAAGAATAAATGAGAGAGGGTCTCCATAAATCGAACATATTAAATCCAGGTAGGCCTTCGACTAGAAATTTTGAATCGGAAAAAAGAGTTTTTTAGCCTTACTAGTACAACAAGCATCACATAAACTAGAAGCATATTATTAAAAAAAAAAGATGAATTAGCTAAAGCACATTGAATAGTTTTAAATAAAGCGTGGCCAAGTCTAGCATGCCATATGGAAAGAGATGCTAGATTGACATGAATGGACAATTGTTTGGAGGAATGGAACGGAAAGTAAAAACCATTATTTATTAGACCTCGATAAAGCTAATCATTTTTCCGAATATCCTTGATACGGAGTAAGAGGGAAAAAATTCAATCGAAACATTCTTAGATTTAGTAAAGGATGAAACGAGATAATAGATTATGATGGCGGAAAGAACATGTAAAACAATATTCAAGTAGAAAGAATTTTTACCAAGAGATATAGAATTGGAACTCGATATGAGATATAAGGAGTTTGAAATCATTATCTATTTGAACTTTCTCGGGATCAATGTATTCAAAATGAATACTAATGTTCTCTAAATTAGCAGTTAAATGATGAGTTGTATTTGAATCCAAAATCTATAGGTGAGAGCTGAATGTTAGTGGGAGGACTGTTTTTGAATTAGAAGGGTGGTGAATTTTAGGCTAGGACAATAGTGAGCTATATGTCTAAAGCCATGATAATTTAAACAATATATAATCCACAACTAGAATTGTTATTTATGGATCCGATGGGTAAGGGCGACGGAGCCTTAAACACTACATAAAGCCATAACTAGAATTGTTATTTGTGGAACTAATAAGTAAAGGAAGCAAACCTTATGTATTATAATGGCCCATATCACTTTGAGATGGAACGGAATGTGAGAAACAACTATGGCCATGTCACCCAAAATGGTCACGATTTTGACCTCTCCGATGACTAGTGGAGTATTTTATAGAATAATGAGTAGCGAGACGAAACGATGTATTTTGTAACATAATGAGCGATAGGTGGCATGGTTTCAAGGGTCGATTCATCCATGGAAAGTTGGGACTCCTCACTAACAAGTAAGTCGTTGAGGTCATCAAAAGAGATAGGTCGAAGTCTGTGTTTCAATGTTGTGAACAAAAGGGCGATACGTGATCCAATACCACCGAAAATGTCCAAAATAAAGTCATGCTTAGCAATCTGGATGATTTTGATTAGAGAGTTGATCAAAGATTGTGTTGGTTCGACTCATATAGATAGTGATTGGGTCGTTTTTGAGATTAAGATTATGGAAAAAAGAGTTTGAGTTGGTGAATTTGAGTGCTTAGAGTCGGAGGTGTAGGTTTTGGCAAGTTTCTACCAAGCATCATGAGTTTTTTTAGCTTTTACTACTTAAGAAAGTGTAGGCTTCGTAAGGGAATAAGCAATCTAGCTTAAGATAAGTTGATCTTTTTGGAACTAAGTAGGGTAATCTGGGTTTGGAACTTTGTCAACAAGGAAAGGTGAGGGTGGATCTATAAAGCCATCAATATGATGCACTAGGTTGTATTCACATAGGAGGGGATATAGTTGAGTGTGTCATAGGAGGTAATTGGAGGAAGAAAGTTTACGGAAAATTGACTTGAATTTAGAAGATTTGAAAGGTTTTTGGAAATATGAAACTAGAGTTAGGTGCATCGAATGAATGTGAAGGGGAAAGGTCAGATGTTCGATGTGAGTAGGGAAGAAGGAACATGAAGGAGAAAGAAAAGAAAGACGTTAAGTCCTTTTAGGACTACGATACCATGAAAGAGACATTGTATTGATACATTTGTTGCATGAGTGTATAAGAGATTTTATAGGAAAGTTCTATTAGTATTTGTTATAACTTCCATTTGAAGAAGTACAATTGGATTTTATCTTATTGAATCTCTGTTTCAATTCAAGTTCAAAGTGTCCATATTTTTATCGGATATTATTCTCTAACACACACACTTACGTAAAGATCCTTTGGGTTTGAAACTTGTATATACCTATACTATTTTATGCTTATTTTTTTTAATTAGTTAGAAAAGAAAGTTGAGATGGTGAGATTTGAACTCGTGATCGTTTGGTTATCAAAACTCGATACCATGTTAAAGAATCATCTCAATCCAAAAATTTAAATTATTGGGTGACGTCTTAAGAATGGTTTTATATTACTCTTTAATCGTAAAAAATAAGAGAAATAGGACGTTAATGCTTGTCTTTCAAAATAAAACATATCTTGACCAAACGTTTGTTTTTTTAGACATAAGGATTAAAATCAGTTGTGTGTTAAAAACAATGCGCAATAATAGTAAAAAGTGTAGTTAATAAGGTCTAACAGGTCTTGACCACCCAAAAGAAGTTGTCTTCTTATAATACGAGGTAGACCTCTTGTCAAAAACCCTAAACTTAATAATTGAGTGCCAGGGCTTCTTCTTCTTCTTGTATGATTGTGTCTTATTTATTTATTATTATTATTATTTGTGAACAGGACATGCTCATATTTAACCATCTATAAAGAAGTAAACTTATAGATCGAAGTTACAGTCCAGGAGGATATAAAAAGAGAAGGTTGGGAAAAAAAACAAAAAAACCGAAGTTGTCGAGGCAACAAATTGTAGCGTAGCTATATGTACATTTTTGGAAACTATTGATCATCTGTAAAAATAAACAAAAAGGAGGAAACTGCTGAACACCTCTGCTTCCTGCCCTTTCGTCTTTAGTGCACAGCAAACTGGTAGATATCACAGTACACCTTTCGTCTGCTTCACTAAGAAATTTCATGGCATAGAAAATTATATAGTCCTAGAGTTCTTTATGTTTTTGGTCGATCCGTAGTTATACAGTAATTATAATAAATATTTGAATTCCAAATAACATTAAACTTGTGCTGACCTTAATATCAGCCATATATACGTAGTTTATATATAAATAGGAAAGGGAAGCAGCTTGGAACGTAATTACTTGTAATTGGGTGATAGAGGATATGGATGAGTAATATCATCCATCCATGATCTTGTGCTAGGGAATTCTATGTCTCCTTCAAGTTTGAAATAATGGTACACGTCCAAAAGGGTATCCTATGCCCGTATAGTGTACATGCAGACAAGTAAATGGAGGGAGGATATGACATGACAGGTGAAGAGAGAGAAGCTTAGGAGACACTGTGTTTCATGGGATTCTCAGGAGGCAGGTTCAAGGAGTTTGGTTAACCATTTATAGCTGGCTAGCTTTGTTTATTATCAGTACCTATTATCAGTACCTAATAAACACAATCACATGACTTGTGAACGCTAGGATTGTCTGTTGATTTTCCCATGCCAACATAGTTTTACAATTACTTTTTGTTGAAAACAAGAATGCTCTATTATTATTATTATTTTATTTTATTTTGTCAAAACTAGAAGGAAACCTCGCAATTATATATGCGCAGGTACATGATGTAGAAACATATCTTATGAGATGATAATGATGACATCAATTTCAAACCAATAATAATAACAATGACGGCTAATTCACAACCATCCATTAATACGAGGAAGTTGTTTGTCCTCATTTTTTTATATTTATTTTTACTTTAAAATTTTGGTTAAAAAAATTATCATCTTCATCATAGAAAAATTAAGTATTAGAATGAAAATAGTGTCTTTCAATTTTTCTTTTTTAAAAAAGATAGACAAACAAGATTGGAACTCGTGATATTTTATAGCTAAAACAAACGCTATTAAACTAGGCTACATTCCTTTTATAAGTCTAATAGCAGAATTAAATAATTACCCGCTTCTCTTCCAAAAAGCCAACTGATTATCTTCAATGCGCCAGTCAATCTTTTTTTACTTCTTAAGTGAGAGTTCAATCCTTCCAGCTGAGTCTTCTTTATTGGCTAGGAAATATATTCCATGAAAAAATCAAGGACTAAATTTTTGAATATATTGATACGTGCTATGCGTATTTATATATAATATTATTAGTAAATTGATATATTAGGATGCATCTATATATCTCTCTCTCTCTCTCTATATATATATATATATATTAGCGACACACAATTTATTTTTAAAAATGATTCATTTTATATAGCATTATCAAAAACATACATTATGATACACAACATGTTATATTATACAATAATAAATACGTATTAGATCATATATATTATAATATTAGAAATACTCCATTTTACTATTTAATACATTTCCCATGGAATTCATTTTTAAAAAAGAATTCGGTTTTTCGATAAACATAAGCAGCCTTACTTGTTTGTTAGTCACGGTAATTGAACCACCAT